TTTAGTCCCATAAGAAAAGCATAGGATCCCCCCTGCGATCCTCACTTCCCTCGGACCCCGATATACCCCCTTAATGCATAGAATGGTTGTTTTCCAACAAAATCAACATTTTGTATCTTTCGCATACCTAAATTTTTGGTATTTCATCGATTTCATCTGGAAGGATGTTGTGGAAAAAAAATGAATTTATTTGAATTAGCTGGAATTTTATAACAGCTCCATATTTGAGAAATAAAAAGAAATATTTTATTCTCATATCTAGATTGAAACAAACAATGTCTGTAATTGTTGAATATTTATAAAGCAGTGAATTAATTTAGGCCTGCAACATATTAACTTTGTAATGAGATACTGATGATTTGAAATACAAAACAAACAGCTTTATCTCGCTTTTGTTTGGTGAGCCTGATATACCCATTCAAATAAATTGAAAATACGATAAATACTTACAAATTCCATAAACAACTGTTAACGACGTCTGTACACCATTTGGGCTTACAACAATCGGAAATGTTCCTTTTTTTTTAGGAGCCACAACCGTCGCAGATTTGAATCAGAGCGTTGATTCGGGTACGGAACAATCCGTCCAAGAAAATGTAGTAACAAACGAAGAGACCGCAAACAAAGAAACGGTCGGTGAATGCGAGGAGGTTTTGAATGTACCGGCGACGTCAGAAACGGAGATAACCGCTATGGTGGAGGATACAGAAAAAGTTGTTTCCGAAGAGGTACCGGCGGACGATATTACGGAGACTCAGTCGAATATGGAGGCCCCGGTGAGCGAAAAAAAGAACATCAAGATGCAACCTTTGGAAGGAAATTTAGGAGAGAAAGTGACGGGCGAAGAACACGAGGCGGAAGAAGAAAGTTCCGTGGATTCCGTGTCGAGACCGCAGAATTTGCCGTTGAACGGAGAGGGTGATCAACCAAAAAGAAAGATCGATCTGATCGGTAAGTCACTCTATTGTTTTCAAATATGACCCTGCCTTGGGGTATATTATTTAAAAAAATAAAATTGTAAAAATTTGTACGTGTCACAGGCGATCCAGGATCTACACCGTACAACAACGTGTACATCAACAAAGAAATACCTAAAAGCAAAGCAAAAGGTTACGACAGCGACACCGATTACTCCACTTCTTCGTCTCCAACATTTTCCGACGCCAGCAGCACCACTTCGACGGTTTCCGTCGACGACGTTCAAAACAGTCCGCAGAACAACGCTTATAACGAATCGAAGGATGCCGCTCCCCAAATTTCTACCGAAGACGTAGTCGAGGCTCCTAAAACTACAAATCCGTCTCAAAACGAAGCTTCCGCGGCTTCGGAAAGTCGAGACCCCTCAGATCCCACTCCTGATATTGCCGGCGCCACTTCTGATCTTCCCGCTCCCGAAGAAACGGTCGTTGTAGAGGTAGCACCGTGCGAGGAGGCGGATAATGTTACAAAGGAGGTTTCCGCGAATGACGCTTCAGGTTCTGAGGAGGTATCGGAGGCTGCCGCTTCGCAGGTCGAAAATTTTGGCGATGTTAGCGCGAGCGCGATAAACTTGGAGAAGCAGTGGCTGGGGAAGGAGGCGCCTTTGTGGGTGCCAGATTCCGACGCTATGAGTTGTTTGCACTGCGACATGAAGTTTACCGTTTTGAAGAGGAGGCACCACTGCAGGGCGTGCGGGCTGGTGAGTGAATTTATCAGTTTTCTCAGTTTTTTACTCGAAAAAAGTCCTATCCGCGAGGTTATTGTATAATTGTCAAAAACTTTTATTAGCTAACTTTTCTATTATTTAAACAAATAAGTGAGGAAAACGGTTTGTTCACTTTGTAGGGAAAACCATCAATTTTAGCGAAAAGTGACTCGCAGACAGCTTGTCGGGTGTAAAATTATCTACAAAGTGAGACTTGTTTAATTAAAATCGGTTAATAAACAAAAAAGTTATTGCAAAAAAACAAGAAAAGTGCCCATTTCTTAATTTGTTTATAACTATCGCATTTATTGTTAAAATTTTATAAAACCTATGACAAGTTGAGGGTTTTGTCATACTTTAAAAGTGTGCCAAAAGTGGGCGCTGTAGGTGCAATAGTTTTCGCACAATTCTATTTGTTTATAACTGAGGTTCCAAAAGTTATGAACTTTAAGCCTCTGTACAGGCGTTAATTTTCAACCAAACATGATTCTGAAA